CGCGGACAACGCGAGATTGAAACGCGAAGCCGCGGTACACATGGCGGCTGCGAAAATCACGGGGGACGCAACTTCAGACGCGCATCGAGAAATTTCCACTTCGGCTGGTGGTCACCGTCAAAGCGTTTAACTTTCGTCGAAAATTTCCAGCAACTCGTCGCGGATTCGCATAGTTCGTCCCGCTGCTAGCGAGTTTCCCGAGGACCTCCGTCTCCAAGTCTGCAACGAACGTCGTCGCGAAGTTCCCGCCACGGGCAATCCGATTATGCGCGCCTGTGGCAACCGTGTCGCCAAAATTCCCCGACCAACCAACAATTTTCTACGCCTCTACGGAGTGCAACTGAAATATAGGGTAAACGAAATCGAGCTGCCTCCCCGTCGTCGCCCGCCGTCACCGCCATCTTTTCACCGTCGCGCCACAAAGGACTCGAGATGGCGACTATACGCGTCGCGTAGCCCCGGTGCAACGACGATGCATCGCGATGTACACGACGGAAACAAGGATTCGCAATTTCCACGGATAAAGATTTCAATATGAGCGCCGCGTAATCCGCGAGCGTGCACGATCCTCTGAATGGCGATCGACGCGAAGGAGGTTCCGCGGCTGGGGAACTCTTGGACGAAACTTGTTCCGCGGCTGGGAAGATTTGCCAACTTTCTTACGACAGAAAATCCGGGGAGGATTTATAATAAACTGGCTGATGCAAATGGAGCGCCGGCTGCCAGGATTCGACTCGCGATTCACGTTTTTTAACGGACTGCCTTTGTAGGCGATAAAAATGGGAAATTGATTAAGCGAAACGGGAATAATAAATGGACATTGACTTTAGAATTTTCTTCCCGCGGTCTGTCCCTTTCTACCTCGTCTGCTGGTTACGCGTTTCAGGTCACCGTGGTAATTTTTCATCGACGAATTTCAAAGAACTAGCAACGCTCTCTTTTCATCTTTTCCTCGAGAATTGAGAAAGATGAATGGAGTTTTTCACCGGCGAACGCTGAAAAAACAGCGTCGGTAATTTTTCACCTACGAATTTCGCAAACTAGCAAACGTTCCCGCTTCCTTTTCGCGCAAGAGAAAACGAGGGCGAGAAAGAGAGGGAGAGAGAGGTGAGCCCGGAAGGTAAACACGGAAACAGGGAGTATTTAACCCCGAGGAAATGTCGGGGGTTAAATATCTCTCGCGTTACCTCATCCCTGATAAAACGATAAAAAGGGAGCAAGACGTTACGTCAGTGTCAAGCGAGGGTTGTCAATGCGGACGTAAAGAAAATCGCGGATTATCCGCGTTGGGCGAAGAAATCGGGGGTCATTAGCGTCGAAGCAGCGAAAATCGAGTTTCGTTAGTGTCGAAGTTGAAAAGAATCGTGGGTCATTAGTGTCGGGGGAAAAAATCGGAGTTCATTAGTTTCCGAACAAACGGGCTTTAGAATCCCCAATAACGAGGAAATAAAGATTCAATCCACTCCTCGACTGGATATCGAGTACACCTCTGTCGATAGTTAACTCCCAAGTCGCTTTCCAAATTCTGGATCCTCGATCGGAAATCGAAATATCGCGAATATGGGGAATATGGGAAATACGTGTAGAAATAGTAGATTTGAGAGTGAATGCAAAGCAATACTTGGACCTGTCTAACTGGTGACGGGCAATAAATAGCAATCTAGGGATCAGGCCGAATGCTTAGAATGACGTCTGAAGTGTACGTGGAAGGACGAGTGGAACGACTTTCCTTCAAGTCCTCGGAAAACCTCCAGTTCCTATATATATATGTAACTTTCCGACCTTCCAATAGTATCCCAGTGCCTAAGGCAGGGCCTGCTAGACTAGCCTTACCGATGAGTCCGCTATCAGGCCCGAAACGAAACGTACCCCTTCCTTTTCCTACCGTCCATTCTAGTACGTCACCAACAGAGAGATACCTGCGACCAGCTGACTTTAAAATGACCGTGGGGGAGGACCCCCACAATATTGAAATTAAACAATCTTTTCTTTCCTATATTCGCCAATCAAAGTATAGGTAACCCTCCTATAACACGGTAGATAGATTCCTAGAAAATGTCGTGTTGTGTGAAACCGTTTTGTATGAAACTCAGAGCCGGTACAAAAAGTGGGGTTACGTTCTGAAAACTTACTAAAAACAAATTTTTTCTTAATTCTACATAAACAACTTAATTTTTATTGAAAATATAAATGTATGTACAACACAAAACAAAGAAAAAAAATATTATTTTAATTTAATGCGAATTATAATTTAATAAATTTCTTCGTCGTCACTGCTCATATAGAAGTACAATGTTGTACAAAGATTTTTGCAATTTTCTTATCGTGTTAGAACGAAACCGTGTTGTAGGAGGGTTCTCGTAATTTCTGAATCGTGTTATAGACTGCCGTGTTGTAGGGGGGCTACCTGTATATAGATACGGGCGAACGAAAGTAACCTCGACAAGTGGCACGGCGAGGAGAGACAAAATGGATGTGACAAATATTATTTTAATTTAATGCGAATTATAATTTAATAAATTTCTTCGTCGTCACTGCTCATGTAGAAGTACAATGTTGTACAAAGATTTTTGCAATTTTCTTATCGTGTTGTAGGAGGGTTCTCGTAATTTCTGAATCGTGTTATAGTGAAACCGTGTTATAGACTGCCGTGTTGTAGGGGGGCTACCTGTATATCCCTAGATACGGGCGAACGAAAGTAACCTCGACAAGTGGCACGGCGAGGAGAGACAAAATGGATGTGCTCCTTAATAAACCAAGCCGACACGGGTCGGCGTGATCATAGAGGTGGTTTTCGACGCGACGCTGTCAAAGCAGCCCTGCCGCTTGGAAGTTTGAGCGGAGAATCCCGCGAGGGTTTCATCGCGACGCATCGATGGCGTATGGGATCGCGTAGACAGGGTCGAACGTCAAAGATCTCCGAGAGGGTGGCGCTCTTTCGCCGGTACAATTTCTGCTTACGTATTACCGCGACGCATAACTGCTACGTTATCAAAGGAGAATGGCGCCCGGAGAATTTCCGGCTTCATAGTTAACCTACTGCGTAAGCACGGCCGCTGACCCGGCGCCCGGCTTTGGAAATCTTTGGAATTGTTCGCGCGTCAAAAGCCATTGTTCCGGCGATGTTGTCACGAGAATAATTCTCGGTTCGTTGTGCCGCGGATTTACGAATTCTTTTTAAGAATTTACCCCTTTTTTCCCGCCGTTCCCGTCATTGTTGCGTTTCTCCACGTTAATCGCGTTAATCGCCGTTTCAAAATACGCATTTAAGCGTGCACACTTTTGTCTCGTGGCTCGCGCCTCTATCTTCCCGCCTTTCACCGCGGGTTTCATCGCTTTTTCCCCTGTCTTTCCTCCGCGTTTTCTTTTTTCTCTTCCTTTTTCCTGCTTTTTTTCTCTTTTTTTTTGTATCTCCTCGCTTGTTTGCCTTTCAGCTCGCGTCGAATGGTACGTTTAAACGTCAACCTTTGTTTTCCAGCCTCAAAAATTGCAGGATATTAAGGCGGGTGAGGATTTCGTTGACGTTGATGGTATTTTCCGCGTTATCTTTTACCGTTTGTATTTCTCCCCGTGGAAAACGGAAACGCGCGAGTTCCATCGGAAATCCCGACCGCCCAGCGTCCAAAGTCACTGTAACGCTTTTTCACGCCGATTTTCGTAAATCGGTCGCGTTTCGCGCTGTCGCGAGAACGGTTTGACATTGGTTTAATGCGTTTTCCAAATATGCGACGGATTAATAAATCGATCGTCCGGCGAAATGGAATCCGAAATCAAGTTTTCGGAAGTGAACGAGCGTCGGGTCGGGAAAAAATGGGGAGAAAGGGGAGGAAAATGGAGGGTGGCGCAAAAAAAGGGGGAGGAAAGGGAAGAACAACGGAAGGGGAAAAGGATGGAGAACGGAAAACGCGGGCTCGCGTTGTTTTGACCCCGGGGCGAAAATTTCCGCGCGACAACGAAGAAAAATGCATCGGGTCGCAAATTTGTTTTTGCCATTCCGGCGAGCTCGTTCTTCCGTGAATTTGACACGTGTATCCTTTCGGATTTACTTTTTAATCGGCCAACCTTCGTCACAGCTCGCGTATTAAAACGGTCGGGAAGCATATTCGATCCGAGAGGAGCGAAGCATAAAAATAGTGAAATAAACAGGAAAATATCGGTAACGCGTTTCAACGAGTTTACCACGACGATGGAGAAAGGAAGAAAATAAAAGAAAAAGGAAATAAAAAATCTACGAAAACGGACAATTCGACGAACTCGATGCTATTCGCGAATCTGATAGCCAACAGTCGTTCCCTAAAGCCCGGTAATATTTTAAAATCAAAGTCACCCCCTTCTTTCTTTTTTACCCTTCACATTTCATCTTCCCCCCTCATTCTCCGCCTCACGTCCCGGCTATTACGTTCTTCCTTTTTCGTCTTTCTCTTTTGTACACTTCCTCTCCCGTCATTCGTTTCATCTTCTTTTCTACACCATTCTCTGCTCATTACACGCCATCCTCCACCCCTTATCCGACCTCCCAACGCCATCATCGTTCGCTTCTCTTTTCTCTCTATACATTTTCCCACTTTCTATTTTCCCTAAATCCCGTACGCCACATTTCCACATTTTTTCCACAAGTACCCGACCGTCTCCGTTCTCGTTTTACCCCCTCGTTCACGTGCGGCTCGACCCCTGGCCGTCACGTTTCAACTTATCCTTCGTATAATTCATTCTTCCCTTCCGCGATCTCCGCGCGCTGAATCCTCTGCAGCCACTTCTCGCTGGCTGGGGATACCCGCGCGCAACCAAAATGGAAACGTCTGTCTCGAAACGGCGCACCTGTTACCGTTCACGAGGGCTGAAAACTTCGCCGTTCCACCTGTCATCGTTCTCACCGCGAACGCTAATTGGATCGAGGGGAAAAAAGGAGGGAAACGAGGGTCGAGGGGAGCGAAGAGGAGACAGGAGGATCGAAGCGGAGAGACAGGGAAGAGAGAATCACGGAGAAGGCCATCGCTCACCTTATCGCCATGCTCTTCGCTTTCAAGTGATGCCATCGCTGGTTCATCTCGTCCAGTCGTCGTTGCAGCATAACAGCGTCATCCTGGCTGGCTAGAGAGCTCAACAGCTTCCGGCCTGTGCCGTTCAGGGACGCGTATACGTCTCGGTGTGTTTCGATTTCCGATTGCAGGTCCTGCAACAAAGGGAAGCCAAGGTTTCGGTCAGTTTCCTCCATCCACTTGATTATCGCGCGAATTTTTCAAAGCTCGCAAAATTTCTAGGCTAACTATTTGCCAGACTTTACGGCAGCAGGGTGCAGCGTACTACGTAGTCCGTTGTAAAACGTTACTATCACAGCGAGTCGTTTGAAACTAACAGGATCAGACGCGTGTCCTGTGTTCGACGGAAAACAAGTACACCAAGAACATCGATAGACGTGACGGTCGTACAAACTAATCAAAACTACAGGATTGCAGTGGAATATCGAACTTCAAATAGACACTGCGACCAACTGTGACTCGGGGAAAAGCGTGATTTTGTGTCGGTATTTACAGAAGCGTTAGGGACGGACCATATACTGAGACCACGGGCGCGAAAACAGGGCTTACTCCTCTTTGTAAGGATGCAATTTAACCCTTTGCACTCGGCAACTTTTTCGTTGCGGGAAAATAGTCATTCGAAGATTTTCTGCCACAAAGTCGACGATATTTTTAAAACGGTGAATAAGAAATCGTACGCAAATTAAGGCGTGGAATTATTTTACTTCGGTATTTCACGCATCATTAGATAATTGTAAATTTGATATATTAATTAACATCCATCTTTAGAATTCGATTAAATAGCAACTGAGAGGCACCTCTGGAGTGCAAAGGGTTAGAAGTTCATAGAACGGCCATTTTATTTTATCCATAGAAGAAAATGTATATATATCTAGAAGCACTAAATTATCCATATTTTTGCATTACGTTTCTTTTTGTATTCAGCAGGTCGTTATTTCCATCTTAAAGTATAATAAAATAAGGGGTAGTTAAAACGATCCCCATTCGTAGTTGGTATTAAAGAACCATCTCCGTCAGACGCGAATATCCATCAGGGGAAATTTCAAGAATTCGCGAGGTATTTCCTGGGATTTTCTCGACGGACAGAAAGTATAGGTCCGAGAGAGGGTTGCAAAGGGGGCGAGAGCACGCTCGCGGTGTTCCGTCATCACGATGACGTGAATTGCGGCGAACGCTTGGCCAGAAGTGATTTATGCCGCGTTTCCATGTACACCCCGGCCACGGGCCCGGCCGTTGACGTGCGCCGTCGGTCGCCAATGAAAATAAATCGTAGTCGATGCAAGTGAATTAAGAAATATTCGCCGTTCCTTCAACGTTCTTCATCCTCCGTTCTCCCCGAGCAATTTTCCCGCCGGTCGTTCGTTCCACGGAAACCGTGCCCGCGGGACCGGAAACTGGGGTCTAAGTGGATTCCAGATCGTGCCACTATTTTTGGTCCATTGCAATCTCGATGCGAACCCGGTCGCGACGCTGAGGAAATGGTAAACATTGCTTCATGGGAATTTATTTGCGACATAGCCCGAGTATCGGTATTTACGGTAACGCCGGGATTTAAATTCGCATTGTTTATGCAGGCACTAAATTCCGCATTAAAAGACTTTGTATCATTTCGCAGGCATTATTACCAGAAGCTGCAAGCCCGAGGCTCGCAGAGGAACACCCTTACGGCGAGTGTGCACGATTGAAATAGAAACTGCCTCCCAGGGATGATCCTCGGGCCTGCTGTACAATTCCAGCTGAATCTACCAGCCAAAAAGAAACCGTATGAATCATCCAAACCTCCTGACCGTGCAATTTTAAATCACCTACGCTCTCTTCAAAATCCTACGTTACCTGTCCATTCAGAGCCACCCCCTGCCTACTCTCGTCACCATGAATTCTCCATCGCGGCAGACCCGGCCAACCACCCCTGGCACACAACGAAACCAGTCGCGAGAAATGATTAAACAGACGGAATATCATCCTGCGGCGATCAGGCATTCAGGTCGTGGCGGAGTTAAGAAGAATCGGCGAATATCCAGAGCCTGCGACGGCCCCCGGTGTTCTCGGGAAAGCGGGGACCGACTGCTCGCAACCTTCCTCACGGTCGAGCGGAATTTCCACGCCGCGGGGGAAGCGGATAATAATTCAACGGCCATTCTTCTCCCAGCTGCGGATGTTAACTTCTATAATTCAGGCAAGCACGGATTGAAAGTCGTCCCGGGACCGAATGCTCGCCGCGCTCCTTTTCGCGACTCCGTCCATCTCGATCCTAATCCGATTCGCGGATTCGACTATCGCGACTATACATATTCTCGTTCCTCGTTCCGCGAAATCTGGTCCCCGAATTCTTTCCCGCGACTTCTCGCCGTGCCCCGATACGCAGCCGTGGCCAGGAACGTGGACAATTTCTGTCGATTCGACGCGGGTATACACGCCGTGTCATAAAACGTGGACGAGTCCGCGCGAGGGAATGTACCGAGAGTGATGAACAGCCGCGGCGGAATTTATACCGGCGACAACATTTTTGGGGGTACCGATCGTTCGTCATTCGGGGTGGTCGGGGGGTTGCGCGCGGAATGAAGCGTTTGTCTCGCAAATTGTCAACTCGCGGAGTGTCACCGGATCGATGCGAATTATTTTCACCGACGAAGAAGCAGCTTTCGCGTTTCGGGGGCCACGTATCTTCCCGAAGCTTTCCCAGCGCGCGATATCGCGACGAGATTAAGGAAGGGACGACTTGGACAGAGTGGCGAGACAAAAGGCACGGACGCTCGGAGAGATTATGGCGATAAAAATAACAGGATATCCGGAATTGATTGTTACGGTGGAACATCTGGTGCAAGCCTTTTTTATCGGACCTACGTGTCCGACTCGGCAAAGTCGCGCGCGGAATTTACGACACAGGTCGCGCGAGCGAGGAGCGGCGGCAAATATAGATGGCAAATATTGTGGTACACGATGTGCAACGGTGCAAGGAACCCGTGCCAAAAGCGTCGGGGTACATCCATCAAACCGCTTTTCGTCGGAGTGCTGGCCGAAAGTACGAATCGGTGACGTTTAATTGGAACACCAGATATCTGGCCGATGAAGTTCGATAGCTGTCGTTGGATTAATCGTCGGACGAGTGTACGCGAACGTTCGCTGGCTTGAAAATTCTCCACGATTTTGCTATACCCCGTCGTTACCGTATCGCGACGCCATGTTATTCGATTTTATCGAGAGCGAATTTCCAGAGAAATAACAATTTTCCTTTTTGCCACTTGCTTTTTTCCCCCCTCGTCTCTGCCAATCAAGCATCACGTCGCGGGAAACAGATCGAGGGGGATCGACGAGGATCGAGGAGGATCGAGGAGGATCGAGGAGGATCGAGGAGGATCGGGGTTACGGTACGCCGTCTTAACGGCGCACTTTCAATGCAGATTAAATTTTCCGGGTAATGGGTGTCTATAAAGTGACCCCGGTGAACCGAGGCAGCGGGCAAAGAAGCGTTTAGGGGAAATTCGATGGGTAGATGGGCTGGAAAAAGCGCGAAATGTAAAGGGTTTTTAGCCAGTCGTCGGTGCTCGGTGCTTCTTATCGGACCAACCACGGCGCAATTACGCAAATAGCGCGTTATCGATGACGTCAAGGACGATAAAACCGTTGCTTTTTTTCTGCCAGTCTTTTACTTCCCGCCCCTCTTCCCATTTCACCTCCCGCGCAAGATACGACACAGGATTGCGAAGCTTTTTGCCCGCGATTTTTAGCATCGCGCCGATGCGTGAGTCGAATCGACAATCGCGGTGGCTAGAATATATCAGATGAGACGACAGCGGGGCGAACGGGCAGCCATAATCGCGCGACAGTGAAATTCACTCGAGGGGTGAGGCTGTTTAGGGGTCGCGAGGGATGCGCCGCTGTGTCACGAGGCGATGTCGAAAATTTGGAAATTTGAAAATGCCGCGGGACACTCGGGAATGCACGGCAGTCGCGAGTGTCGTGCTTTAGAAGCTTCCGTGGCACGCACGAGGAGCCGAGCGATGATTCGAGACGGGGTTGCTCTTTGGGAGGACGAGCGATGCCGAGGAACGCGCTTTAAGCATTCTCGCAACTCTTCGCGAGTTTCAGATTCAGAAGCTTGCATGCTTTTCTTCAGCCTGCGTCTCCGACGAAAATCTCCCCTTGCTTTTACAGCGCTCCGAGCATCTCTTTTCCTCTTGCGGTACTTTGATATTACGCGAAACGTAGTTACTAATTTAAAAATCGTACAATTTTCGCGTTGTTCGCGTGATCAGAGAATTCTAGCGCATAATTGCGAATTTTAAAATCGCGACACGGCGTAAAATCGTATATCGCGTTGAGGGTCGTAGGGACACATCCTAGATGCGGAAAACGAAGGTCTCCTGTAAATATTTTCCACTCCTTTGGGTCATCGAGGGTCCCGGGTCAATGGGGGCCCGGTTTATGTCTTTACGACCAGGGCCCCATGACTCGCGGATCACTTCGACGCCTAAATGAGCGGCGGAAAAAGGAGTCAATTCGTTTGCGTCTCTCCAACTACAAGGGTCTTTCCCGAAAACTAGTCTTCACGTTTTCCGCATCAGGTCCCAAGTGCGTAATAAAGTCCTAACAAAGAAAACGTAGTGCTATTTTCACTCGATCCCTCTCATCCTCCACCTTCAGAGTCTTCTCAAGAGGTTACGGGGTACCTTCCGGCATTGTTGCACTAGCACGAAAGAAATTTATAAGCTCGTCTCGATCGCGATGGTATTCTTTAGAAGAATTAAGGTAAAATTCGTGGCAGGTATGAATGATTCGCACTCGGCGAATATTCCAGCGACGACACTAGCAAACATTGTTAATTAAATCAATCTCGCGGGCGTCTACGTCTCGATTGAATCTGTACCGCGAATCCTTACGCTCGAATCGAAGATTCAGCTTCGCCGTGGGCGAGAAGAGAGGCATATTAGCTGTTCCGATGTCGAGCCAAGGACGTAATATTACGCCTACCGGCGAGACCCGCTTTATTGCCTGGCGTTGCGGCTTCTGATAATATTTCGAACACATGGCGTACACGCGTAATTGCCAAAGGAAAACACGGTTACGCGGCCGTCTCGCGAATAATATCCACGTTTCATCAATCATCGCGCGCGCACGTAACGAGCCGAGGTAT